TTTTTTTTTTTTTTTGGCTCAACAACTGTCCCCCCAGAGTACCGTTTTCTCAACAGAATTTTTTCCCTGGTGGGTTTTTTTTTTGGGGGGAGGAGGGGGGATGGGGGAGGTGTTCAGTATTTTTGGTTAAACCTCTTGGTCTCCAATGGGTTGACCACCTCTGGTATATTCTCATCAATCAAGGAAACCTGCAATATCAGTTAGGTTAGTTTGAACTAAGATAGTGGCGGGCAACCTGTGGCCCATCAGGTTAATCTGATTACAGGCCACGACATATTTTGCTAGCATTGACTATGCACACCGCTCCTGTAGCATTCAGTGGCAGTCTTTCTCTGTTCCTGGCCAATAGGAGCTGTGATGTGTGGTGCCTGCAAATGATCAACATCAGCAAAATATCTTGCGGATAGCAATCAGATTACTTTGGGCCACATGTGGCCTGAAGGCTGCCCACCACTGCACTAAGACTGGTCAGAGAAGAATTTCATTTATTTCTGATTGCAGCATGGTTCTTTCGTACAGCAAGAAACCTCCTTTTCCTGAGGATCTGTGGCCTACCCATATTGTCATCCCACACGTATTCTGGGGAAAGTATTTTAGTTGGTTTGTGGTAAATAAAATACTTGTTTAAGTGACTCTCTTCTTGCCATATTGCCTCAATTCTATTGTCTTTGTCCACCATGATGGCTTCATGGCATTTCTTGGTCAGCTTGTAAACCTCCTTTACTGTTCCTCCAAAAAATGCTGCAGCATAGTAAAAGTCACCCTCATCATGGGGCACATAAGCTTGAGAAGCAGGTCGACGTTCATACGTGAAAGACTGACGCTCTGCACCATAGAATCCTGGGTGTAGTGTGCCAAACAAGTCGCTCAGGATTTCTACTCCAACTTGGTCATTAAACCTCATGTCTATATCAACAGACACAAGGTAGTCAACCTCATTAATGAACTGCTTCTGTGAGAAGTTGTGGATCATTTCCATGCGTCGCAAAACAATTTCTTGCCACCTCGAGTAGTTTTGCATTTGTAGAACTACTACTTTCCTTCCTTCTTTGAGCTCAACTTTAGGAACTTCTTGTGGTCTGTCTGTGAAAATGTAATAGTTCACTTTATATCCAACCATAAAGTACGTCTCTGCAGTTTCTAAAAGATTCTTGAGGAACACGACATACCTAAAAAAAAAAAAATTATTAGAAATAAAAGGCATGGTGGGAGAAGACTGGAAAAAGGGGCAGAGCTGTACAGCATCATGAAGATGAACCCACCAAAAAAAAAAAAAAAAAAAAAGAAATTATAAGAAATAAAAGGCATGGTGGGAGAAGACTGGAAAAAGGGGCAGAGCTGTACAGCATCATGAAGATGAGGATAAAAATTCTGAATTTAATGTGGAAAAAGATAAGAGGCGGAGAAAGGACTGACAGGGCTGGTGGCACGGCTGGACTAACTAGAAGGATCTAGGATTTAGCTGTTGTTATTGCGGGGAGGGGAGAGGAAGATGAACCAATTAAAAGCACTTGGTGATTATCAAAGCCTTGTAAATGTCTGTTGTTTTCTCCTATGGAAAAAATCCAGTTACTATAAGATTTCTATTAAGAAGTACTGGCTACATGGTGGGGAGTTCTTGTAACACTTGGTTCAGATACAGACAGGGTACATGTCAGCTCTTCATTTTTCTCAGGTAGACTCCCTTCCTGGCTGTTGGGAAGGATAGAGCGCCATGGTGTCTGTGCTTCATTTCTTGGCACTTCCACATGTATTCATGGGCAGAGCACTTGTGTAATCAGCACAGTATCTAAGGGTACGTCTACACTACAACGTTAATTCGAACTAACTTAGTTCGAATTAACTAATTCGAACTAAGTTAGTTCGAATTAACGTTGTAGTGTAGACGTACCCTTAGATACTGTGCTGATTACACAAGTGCTCTGCCCATGAATACATGTGGAAGTGCCAAGAAATGAAGCACAGACACCATGGCGCTCTATCCTTCCCAACAGCCAGGAAGGGAGTCTACCTGAGAAAAATGAAGAGCTGACGTGTACCCTGTCTGTATCTGAACCAACTGTTACAAGAACTCCCCACCATGTAGCCAGTACTGAGCCAAGATCTCTGGCAGTGATTTGACATGAATGGCTGGGAAACAGCCAGGGCACTAGGACCACCAGCACTCAGAAGCCTTATCCTGCTTTTATACTGGAGAGAGCCAGCAAAGGAACCTCTAAAACATCCATCAAAACCCCTCAATGGCCAGGTGAGGCATCACTATCTTCCAGAATTCAACTCACACCCAACAGGAGAGAGGGAGCTTTACAGTTACACTGCAAATATCCAAGCCCCCTTCATTTGACTATGTGAGAGATGAACATTAGAGTTGTACGCTGTAGCTCTTAGAAATTAACATCAACCTCATTTGTTGCCCCTTTAGAACCCAGTAGTAGTGAATGAGAAACATCTTTCTGGTTATTGTTCTTGTTTGGTTCCTTTTTATACTGTAAACAGATATACAGCAGAGTGAAGAATGGAATTGTTTATTCACAGTCATTTCCAATGCAGTTACTAGCCACATGCAGTTTGGATGTGCCAGAAGACCTTTCTGCAACATATTTAGCCTTGCTTGAAGAAACTGATTTCTGATTCAAAGCTAAGCGTTTTTAAGTTAGCGCTTTTCTCATTACAAGAAAATGTAAAGGTGCACCAGGAATCATTTAGCAACCCTCCCTATAAAACAAAGGGTACTAATATGCTACTTATACCCACGATATTATTGGGAAGAGATTCTAATTCATATTGAATCAGGGGTAGTTACAAACCATTGTGCCAGCATCATATATAGGGGTGTTACATTGCTTGGGGTTTTGTCTTTCTAAGTCCTGTCTGCATGTAATCATTATCAATCCTATTAAACTTTTTACAAGGGTGGGAAAGTTAGCTCCAGTATCCTGGACAAATTCAATCCTCATTTCTATCATTCAAGCTTCCCAAATTGGCCCTGTATTTTCAAAATGATCTGGTATTCTTTGCTTTCTGTCCTAATGTGTCGTGTCTCATTGATGTACAACATTGAAAAGGTGCTGTATCTAATTGGTGGCCCAATCAGCCTGGCATATATTTATATATATAGTTGAGATTGGTCCTGCCTTAGGCAGGGGGCTGGACTGGACAACCTCCTGAGTCTCTTACAGCTCTATGATTCTATGATTCTGTGGCTGATTCAGCACAGGTACAAAAACCTACTTGTCCATGCTTAACAGGATGATAGTGGAAAAATAATCGTGGTATTTTACTATACTTTGCTCTGGAGTCCTTTTGTAAAACAGGACGGATAAAGATAACAAAGTTTCTGTTCATCTCTAAGTGCTTAGAAAAAACTGAGGGAGTGGCGGAAATTGGCTGGCAATAGAGCTTGTTAAATGCTGTCTGAAAAGGAAGTTACTCACCTTGTGCAGTATCCTCTGTTCTTCGAAGTGTGTTTCCCTGTGGGTGCTCAACTTATGCTGACAGGGATCCCTGGAGCTGCAGATCGGAGCTTTTTTCTAATCAGTTGCTAGTCGGGCCACACATATACAGCGTGTGTCTTGAGCTGCCAGCAATTTGATCTCCTCCCCTCAGTTCCTCGTCTACCACAGAGCAGACGTTCTCTGAATAGCGGGGAGGAAGGGAGGGTCGTGGAGCAGCCATGGGGGGACACACCTCGAAGAACAGATGTTACTGCACAAATTGAGTAACTCCGTTTTCTTCTTTGGGTGACGTCCCCATAGGTGCTTCACGTATGGTGATTACCAAGCAGTGTCCTGAGTGGTTGGTGGGACTTGGAGTTACTGCTTAATGACAGTGAATAAAACCGCTGTAGCCACCATTGTATCATTCGCCAACTGAACCATTATCACGTAACACTTTGAGAATGTGTGTTCTGAAGACCATGTAGCTGCCCAGGAAATGTCTTGTAAGGACATTTTTGAAGAATGCCATGGATGCTGCCATTGCCCGAGTTAGAATGGGCTCTTGTTAAAGCTGGCAAGGGTTTTCCGGATAGTGAATGGCATTGAAGGATTCAAGTCGCTATCAATTTTGAAATTCGCTGGGTCGATATGGGAATGCCCTTTGAAAGGCCAGACATAGCAATAAAGAGTCGTGAGGTTTCGCGAAATTCCCGAGTTCTGTCAATGTAGTAGGCCAAAGCCCTTCATACAACCAATATATGTAGCATTGCCTCCTTGGGAGAAGCATGAGATTTCAGGAAGAATGCAGGCAGAACAACAGGTTCATTGATGTAGAAAATCATGCTGACTTTTGGAAGAAACACAGGATGCAGCCTCAAAATCCCTTTCTCCGTACTAAACACTATATAGGGCGGGCCCTCCATTAGCACGCCTATTTCACTGACTCTCCTCATGGAAGTTATGGCTTCAAGAAAGAGAACTTTCATGGTAAGTAGAGGCAGAGCACATGAGAACGTTGGCTCTAAGAGGGGTTTCATGAGAGCAGTCAATACCAAGTTAAGATCTAATGTAGGAATTAGCAAGAGCAGAGGGCCTCATGGTCATGGAACCATCAAGAAGCCGTGCACGGAGATTCCAGACTGTGGAATCCAGTGATGCAACTTGCCTCCATTCTGGACCAAGAAGTTGTACCAGGGTGGTAGCAGGTAGGGTGGTTTGAGAGACAAGTCCCAAAGAGCTGGATACCAAATCTGCTCGGTCCAGGCAGGTGCTATCAGGATAACTCAAGCACTGTGAAGCTGAATTTTTCACAACTCTGGAAATCAATGGAATTGGAGGAAAGGCATAGTAAAGTGGTTCATCCCATGAGAGGAGAAATGCATCACTCCTGGATCTCCTGCCCAGTCCTGCTCAAGAGCAAAATCTGGGACATTTGGTGTTGTTTGATGTTGTGAAGAGGTCCATGGTAGGATAGCCCCATCTGTGGAAGATGGTATCTGTGACTGCTGGGTGAAGTTCCCATTCGTGTTGAATTGTAAAGTTGTGGCTTAGGGCATTTGCCATGGTGTTGCCTGCTCCGGGAAGATACATGGCTTTCAGGGTGACCCCATGCCCTATACACCAGTTTCAGAGGCAGGCTGGACTGCCTCTGTGCACAGGGATCTGGAGCAGGCTCCCCCATCTGTTTATATAGTACATAGTGGTCGTGTTGTTCGTAAGAACATGAACCGAGCAGTTGGCTATGGAAGGAGCAAAATGCCTTCTGGCATTTCTGACAGCTGTGTTCCAGAATGTTGCTATGTAACAGAGCATCATGTGGTAGCCACTTGCCCTGTACAGTTCTGCTTTGGAGGTGTGCCCCCCAATGCAGTAGTGAGGCATCTGTGGTAATTTGTACAGCAGGCTCCTCCTATAGGAATGGGGTTCCAGTTAACAGATTCTGTGGACATGTCCACCATTTCAGTGACTGCAGCACCTTGTCTGGCACAAGCACCTGTTTGTGCAACGAGTGATGTGAGGGCGTATACATCGATGCTAGCCAGTGCTGTAGGGGTCGGAAGTGGAGGCGTGCGTATGGTACCACATATGTGGTGGCCACCATGTACCCCATGAGTTGAAGGCAAGTACGGACTGTGGTGGATGGGTTTGCAATGAGGGCAAGAGCTAAATCTCGAAGCGTATGGAATCTTTGATGTGGAAAACATGCCCTGGCTGATATGGCATCTAGTCTTGCTCCTATAAATTCTAGGTCTTGAACGGGAGTGAGTGTTGACTTTTGTTCACTGATTAGGAGCCCCAGCAGGTTGAACAGTTGCTTGTTTTTTGTTATCATGTCGATCACATCCTCTTGTGAATGACTCTTCAGCAGACAGTCCATCGAGGTAAGGAAAAATCGTCACTCCCTGTTGTCTGAGGTATGCTGCCACTACTGCAAGGGCTTTTGAGAAAACTCGTGGGGCAGATGACATTCCGAAGGGGAGGACCTCGTATTGGAAATGGTCCCCTCCTGCTATAAACCAAAGGAAACGTCTGTGTGATGGATGTTTTGTTATATGAAAGTATGTGTCCTGTAGGTTGAGGGCTGCGAACCAGTTTCCTTTGTCCAGTGTTGGAATGATTGAGGCTAGTGTGACCATTTTGAAATGCTGTTTTCTCAGGAACTTGTTCAGCTTCCAGGGATCCAGAATTGGCCTCCATCCCCTTGTGCGCTTTTGGGTGAGGACATACGTTGAGTAAATGCCCCTTCCCCAGTAAGGAGTGGGAACTCTTTCTACGGCCCCTAAGTGGAGAAGCTGCTCAATCTCCTGTCTGAGAGGAGCCCCGTGAGAAGGGTCCCTGAAGAGGGATGAGAAGGGGGAGTGGGTAGGTGGAATGGAAGTAAATGGGATGGTGTACCCCATATGTATGATCAACAAAACCCAGTGGTCTGACGTTATAGTGCCCCAGTGATAGATATGGGGCAAAGCCTGTGATGGAATAGGCCATTCTGTTCTTGCTGTTGCACTGGACGATCTGGGAGGTTGTGCAGACCCTCGACCAATGTCTCAGATTTGTTGTTTGGTAGGCTGAGAGTCTGAGGGGTGCTATTGCTGCAGGTGCTTCTTCTGGATACGTTGTCTGTTTTTGGTATAATCATAGGACTTGTTCTGTGGTCGATTATAAAACGAGTCTCTAGCCCAGTTATATGGGGCATAGTACTTTCTCTTGTGTGGTGGTGTATACATCCCAAGGGTGTGTTGTGTAGTGTGGGAGTTCTTACTACTGTGTAATATCTCATCCTACTTATCAAAGGGTAGGTCTTCTACTTTGTTCTGAAGATCTTTAGGAACCCCTGAAGCCTAAAACCATAATACCCGTCTCATGACTATCGCCATGGCCGTGGCCCTTGCAGCTATATTGGCTACATCAATCGCTGCCAATAATGCCATGCAGGTGATGGTATGGCCCTTGTGAATGATTACTCTCAGGAAAGCTCTTTTGGATTCTGTTAAGTGTTCCATGAGTTCTGCTAACTTTGAATAGTTACCAAAACCATGGTTAGCTAGTAAAGCTGTATAATTTGCTATCCTGAGTTGAAGGGTGGCCAAGGAGTATGCCTTTTCCCCAAACTGATCAAGTTTCTTGTGATCTCTGTCCCCTATATTCAATCTAAATAGGGGAGCCTTGTATCTCTGATTTGCAGCATCCACCACCAATGAATTGGGCTGGGGGTTGGAGAAAAGGAAATCAAAGTCCTTTGGGGGAACAAAATACTTTTTGTCTGCCTTTTTACAAGTTGATGGAACTGAAGAAGATGTTTTCCAGATGTCATCTAAGACTTCCATAATGGCCTCATCAATGGGCAATGCTATTCTGCTCCTCGTGGATGGACAAATGTTCTTAAAGAGACTGTGTTGCTTCTCCTTTACTTCCTGAAGCTTAACTTCTTGTGTTATGGCCACTCTTTTGAAGAGATCCTGAAATTGCTTTAAGTTGTCAGTGCCCTGCGTATCATCAGAGACCATAGCCTCATCCTGAGGGGGAAGATTCATGAGGGGAGTATATGTGGATCCTCCCAACTATCAGATAGCTGGCCCTCTTCCTCTTCGGACTCTGGCATGGTCAAGATCGTATGGGGTGGAAAGGCTGGCCGAAGTCTTTTCGGTGATGAAGATCAACACTGTGAATGATGCCTCCATGGTCTGCAGTAATCCCAAGGTGCCCACTGTGGAGGATACTGTGGTCAGTGGATAATGGTATTGATGCGGGCGGTAAGGCTGATCATTGCAATGATGATAACTAGTACATTGCAGGGGATGAATGATGAGGTGAAGATGCACCCCTGTGATGATAATTAAACAAGTCTTGCTCACATAGCCTTGGAGATGCCTTGTAGAGTGGAGAGCGAGGGGTGGGTGAGTCCTGAACAGGTGGAGTGGGGCGGAGCACCTCCCCTCAGCAGACATCTGAGCTGTTTTCTTTATTAGCCCGTGTGTGTCAGCGCTATCCTTCTGCTGATTGCTTAGAGCAGCCTCCTCTACGGGAAGTGCTTGAGATGGTGGTGCGCTTGTGGTGGTGTGCTGCTTCCATGGATCTGCTTGGAAGGTGGTTCCACTTCCTGGCTCTGTGCGGTGGAAGCTGGCACCGTGGTTCATCGGTGCGGCGTCTGTGAAACTGACGAGGCAGGCGTGGTTTCAGAGCTCTGCCTCGGTGCCACATTCACCTTGCCTGGAGAGGCTCTGTGTGCCAAAGCACATTCAAGGCTTCTGGCACCCCCTCCCCCCTCGCAGGGTCTGGGGGACAGCTGAGCAGGCAGCGATCTGGCCGGCAACAGAACATGTCCCCTCTGCCTTCTAGGGGTTGTGGAAGCAGATCATGTAGCTGGAGAAAAGAAGGTTACTCACCTTCCTGTAACTGACATTCTTCGAGATGAGCATCCCTGGGGGTGCCCCACAATAGGTGTTGAGCATCCCAGCACTTCTCGATGGATTTTTCTTAGCAGTGCATTGGGGGCCACACATGCGAGCCTCCCCCAGTGCCATCACGCATGCATACCCCCCCCCTTCAGTTCCTTCACTATCCAGAACCCGGCAAAGAATGTGTTATAGATGTTATCATAGGGCATTCTGAAGTAGAGGGAGAAAGGGAGGGTAGTGGAGCACCCCCAGGGATGTTCATCTTGAAGAATGTCAGTTACAGGAAGGTGATTCTTTGAGATGTGTTGCTCATGTCCATTTCAATATAGACGTGTGTGCACAGCGTGCATGCGCCGTCGGAAACTTTTCCCTCAGCAGTACCCTTAGTGTCAGCAAGGGAGCCCTCTGGAGTGGCCCCGGTATATCGGCCCATATATACCCCTACTGGCTCCCTCACCCACTCTGTTCCTTCTTACCAGCATATTCCAGATAAAGGGAGGTGGGCGGGGATTTGGAATGGACATGAGCAACACATCTCGAAGAATCATAGTTACGAGGTAAGTAACTGTTCTTTCTTCTTCAGTGATTGCTCATGTGAATTCCAATAAAGGTGACTCCAAAGCAGAACCTAACTAGGCGGAGGACCGGATGTCGAGACCACGGAGGAGCTGAGGACCGTTCTACATAGAATAGCGTCCTCTCTGGCCTGATGTGACAGCTCATAGTGGTTGGCAAATGTGTGGACCAAGGACCATGTGGTAGCCCTGCAGATGTCCAGGATGGGAACCTGCACTGCGAAAGCAGTGGAAGCTGCCACAGCTCTCGTGGAGTGTGCTCTAAGGGTCGGGGCTGAGATGCCCTTTAGGGAGTAGCACTCCCTGATACAGGCGGTTATCCATGAGGTGATTCGCTGAGTGGTTACAGGTTGGCCTCTCATGCGTTCCGCGATGGCTACGAAAAGTTGTGTTGATTTTTGGAATGGTTTGGTCCTGTCTAAATAAAAGGCTAACACCCTACGGACGTCTAACGTGTGTAAAGCCTGCTCTTTCCCAGATGCGTGCTGTTTTGGGTAAAAGACTGGTAGAAGAATGTCCTGGGAAGCGTGGAATGAAGAAACCACCTTTGGCAGAAAGGCTGGGTGGGGGCAGAGCTGAACTTTGTCCTTAAAATCACTGTGTAGGTGGGATCTGATGTCAGCGCTCTAAGCTCAGACACCCTCCTCACAGATGTGATTGCCACTAGGAGGGATACCTTATATGATAGGTGAAGGAGAGAGTATGTGGCTAGCAGTTTGAACGGGGGCCCCATAAGTTTGGATAGGACCAACTTTATGTCCCACCGGTGAATGGGTTGCCGGACATGTGGATAGAGCCTGTCCATTCCTTTTAGGAACCTGTCGACCATTGGGTTCGCAAATAGTGTTTTCCCCCCTTCCCCTGGGTGGAAGGCCGAGATGGCTGGTAGGTGGACCTTAATGGAGGAGGAAGAGAGATGCTGGAGCCTAAGGTCCAACAGGTAATCCAGGATCAGGGGGACTGGTGCCCACCTCGGGTGTACCCCCCCCTTCTGAGAAGCCCAACAGCAAAACTGCTTCCACTTAGCGAGGTACGTGGTTCTAGTAGAGGGTTTTCTGCTACCCAGTTGGACTTCTGAACTCATTGAGAGCACAGGAGTTCCTCTGCCATTAACCATGGAGCTTCCACACTGTCAAAGGACTGCAGGCCTGGGTGGTGAAGCCTGCCCGAGTCCTGGGATATCAGGTCCGGGACTAGTGGGAGGGTTATGGGTCTCTTGCATGAGAGGTTGAGGAAGGTCAAAAACCAGTGTTGCCTGGGCCACGCTGGGGCGATTAGAATTAAAGATGCCTTGAACTCCCGCACTTTCGACAGGACCTATGAACCAGTGGGAAGGGTGGGAAGGCGTACAGCAGGCCTTGCGGCCAGTGGAGGAGGAGAGCATCCCCTGAGGAACTCCATTCCTGTCCCATGAGGGAGTAGTAGGGGGGGCACTTCATGTTTTGCCCTGTGGCGAGCAGGTCCAGGTGTGGAAATCTCCACATGCGGAAGATGGACTGGGCAACGTCCCAATGCAGGGACCACTCATGGCTCGCAAACAATCTGCTCAGTCTGTCTGCCAGGACGTTCTGTGAACCCGGGAGATACAAGGCCATTGGGTGGATATCCGCCCCAGTGCAGAGTTCCCACAGGCGGATCGCCTCTAAGCACAGGCAGGAGAAGCAAGCCCCGCCCTGCTTGTTTATATACGCCACTGCTGTCGTGTTGTCCAACAGGATAAGGACAGGCTTGCCCCTCAGGTGGGGAAGGAAAACCGCACAAGCCAATTGGACTGCCCTGAGTTCCCTGACGTTGATAATGCAGGGAGGTTTCATGTGGGGACCATGTACCTTGAGTGTGCAGCTCTCTCAGGTGGGCTCCTCAACCTGTGTCTGACGCGTGTGTGACTAATCGGATGGACGGGACTGGCCGGGAGAATGGGACCCCTGCACAGGCCTCCACTTGATGGGTCCATCACTCCACCGCGAGGAGAAGGGGGGCAGGAACGGTCAACACTCTGTCCCAGGAGTGAACAGTTGGATTGTGGACTTGCGATAGCCACATCTGTAGTGGACGCATGCGCAGCCTGGCATGTTGCACTATATAAGTGCAGGCGGCCATGAGGCCCAATTGATGCATGCAAGCCCGGGCGGTGGTCACTGGAAAGTTCTGGATTGACCTGACCGCCAACTGTAATGTGAGAAAGTGGAAGCTGGGTGGAGAATATCTCTGAGACCGGGAATCCAGGGTAGTACCCAAGAACTCTGTTGTCTACAAATTAGTGTGGATTTGTCCAGGTTTAAAAGAAGAACTAGTTCTTGAAAGAGTTCATGGACTGTGATGATGTGATCTCTCACCTTGGTTTCTGACTCTCCCCTGAGGAGCCAATTGTCCAAATAGGGGAACACTTGGATGCCCCTTTTTCTGAGCTCGGTGGCCACCACTGCCATGCATTTGGTGAAGACCTGGAGGCCGTAGAAATACCAAAGAGAAGGACTGTGAATTGGTAGTGGTCCTGGCCCACAGTGAATCGTAGAAACCTCTGATGGAAAAGGGCAACTGAAACATGAAAGTAAGCGTCTTTTAAGTCAAGGGCAGCGTGCCAGTCTCCGGGGGCTAGGGAAGGAATTATGGACGCCAGAGTCACTATTTTGAATTTTGTCTTGACAATGAAAAGATGTAAGGCTCTGAGGTCCAGGATTGGGCAGAGGCCCCCTTTTGCTTTTGGAACCAGAAAGTAAAGGGAATAAAATCCCCTGTTTTGAAATTTGCAGGGAACTGGTTCCACCGCCCCTACAATGAGAAGGTGGCGAACCTCCTCCTGTAACAGAGGCTTGTGAGAGGAGTCCCTGAAAAGGGATGGGGTAGGATATTGGGAAGCAGGGGACGAGTGGAAAGGGATTACATAATCCCTTTCCACTATCTCCAGAACCTATCAGTCCGATGTAACAGACCGCCAGGCTTGCAGAAAATGGGATAAATGGTCCCGGAAAGGCACCGGGGAGCAGGGCTGGCTTTAGGAAGTGCAGGGCCCAATTGGAACAATTTCGACGTGGCCTCACAGCAATTTTGGTTGAGCAAAAAAAAAAAGCACAAAAAAATCCCCTGCCAACACACGCATACACCCTACGCTGAACTCACACCGCCTGTGGCGCAGACAGCCGATGAACTCTTTCTCCGGGGCCAGCAGATTTGTATAGATTTTGGTGGTGCCCCATTAACCACACCTCCTGACCCCCATTAGCCAGGCCTCTGGAGGCAACACGCTGGACACATGACCAGGCACGATGGACACATGACCAGAAGTAAAAGGTGTCATGTCACCTCTCTCGAAGGACTTTTCCCACCATCCTCCGACCAACAGGGATTAGTTTGGCCCCCACCAAACTCCCCTCATGCAACTATCCTGCAGTTGCATTAACCCAATGTGTGTGACATTAACTCGGGGGCATAGAGACTGGGGGAAGTGTTCCCTCTAAGGCTATGTCTACACTCGCGGTTTCTTATGCAAGTACAGCCATTCCTGCACAAGAACCCATAGAGGAGCCACACTGCCCACCTGCTCTTGCGCAAGGAAATTTACAGTATGGCGTGGTAAGAGAGGGCGTCTTGCGCAAGAGCTATGCTCTTTTCTAACAGATGTAAGCTCTCTTGCACAAGAAGGCAGTGTGGATGCTTGACAGGGATTTCTTGCGCAAGAAACCACTATGGCTAAAATGGCCATTGGAGCTTTCTTGCTCAAGAGAGCTTCCACACTGCCATGGATGCTCTTGCGCAAAAGTACAGCTCGCACATGGCAGTGTGGACGTGTTCTTGCACAAGACGTGTTCTTTCCTCCCATGAGCAGAATGGATTTTGTCTTGTGCACCTGTACTGAGTTCATGTGGCTTGTTTGGATGTGCCACCAGAGGCATAGCGAGGGTGTTATGCGCCCGGGGGCAAAAGATAAATTTGAGCTCCCCTGCCCCCCACCACCATGTAGCACAGCTCCAAACCTGGTGTACAGCTGAGGGGAACTTGTACTGCATCTTCCCCCACCCCTGCACTAGCCCTCCAGTGGAGATGGAAGAACGTCGGGCTTGGAGCAGAGGCAGGGAGGAGGCTCCAGCTGCCGGTGGCAGGTGGAGTAGGAGCACGTGAGCTGAAGGGATGACGGGGGGAGCAGAATGGGATTAAATTGGAACCTCCCTAGCATGGTGCCCAGGGACAACTGACCCCTCTGGCCCCCTCGCTGCCCCACTGCCCGCCCCCCTGCAGATCTATCATCTTCTGCATGTGCAAGATCTGTGAGAGCCGTCCCATGAATCTGCAGTTAGTGTCTGTGGCGCCTGCTTCTGGGTGAATGCTGCCACATTCACCTCCAAAGAGGGGGCTTCCCAAAGCAGGCCCTTGCTGCTGACCCCCAAGGCAACCACAGGTCCAGTCTCCTTTCAATGGGCCCACTTCCCAGGGCTCATTGATCTTGGATCTGGCTTCCATCCCCTCTCCAACCTTTGCAACTGCCCAGAGGTGCTCACCTTCCGCCTTATACATTCCCACCTCATTCACCCCACAGGGACAGTCTCTGCCTCACTTGTCCTAGGGACTATTCTACCAAGACGTAAAACAAAGTTTCCATGTAAAAGGACTCACTACAAAGCTAAACACTTCAATGAGAGAATGATTAATATAGAGACGTGTCTACATCTGCTGCAGGGAGATGCCTCTGCCTGCCTCACGCCTCTCCCCCCAGAGTCTACAGCCCCATTGCAAAGTGGGGGAGGGGAAGAAAAGAGGCTGAGGCCCATCCAACGGGACTGAAGCAGTCATGAGCAAGCCATGCCCAGGAGCCATTTTCCTGTCCATTGTTGGTGCTGTGTTGCTTCAGGCACGCTGAAATGCAGTCACCTCTAGGGTGTGCTACCACTTCCCAGGGCTCATTGATCTTGGATCTTCCATCCCCTTTCTAATCCCCATCAGAACTACTGTGCCCTCCTGGCTTAGGAAAAGAATAAACAGGAGGATTGGAAATTAACCCGCCCAGTCTCACGTCCCCTAGGCAGGGAATGAACCATCTACATTAGGCCCCAGCTGGAGTATCATGTCCAGTTCTGGGCGCCACATTTCAGGAAATGTGGAGAAACTGTAGAAAGTCCAGAGAGGACAGAAGGACCTGTTGGTTGGCAGTTCTGTATTGGATGCCCCCAGATGCATAGACCTTTCTGCCCAGAAACTCAGTCTTTTTAGCCTCCCTGTTCTTAGGGGTGGTAGTGGGCTGTCCCTGCCACTTCCTTTGGTTGACTGCCTGAATTACTAATGAACCCAGGGGAGAGTGGGAGAAGAGGTGTTCGTTACCCTCTTGAGGGTATGTCTACACTACAAAGTTAATTCGAACTAACGGACGTTAGTTCGAATTAACCTTGATAGGCGCTACACTAGCGCTCCGTTAGTTCGAACTTAATTCGAACTAGCGGAGCGCTTAGTTCGAACTAGGTAAACCTCATTGTACGAGGACTAAGCCTAGTTCAAACTTACTAGTTCGAATTAAGGGGTGTGTAGCCCCTTAATTCGAACTAGTGGGAGGCTAGCCCTCCCCAGCTTTTCCTGGTGGCCACTCTGGCCAACACCAGGGAAACTCTATTGCCCTCCCCGGCCCCGGACCCCTTAAAGGGGCACGGGCTGGCTACGATGCCCGTGCCAGGTGCAAGCCTGCCAGCACCCAGCCAGCAGACCCTGCACCTGGCATGGCTCGAGCCAGCCACCCGATGCCCCCCCCCCCCCC